CCTGGGCGAGGGCGTGCTTGGTGACGCTCGCCCGGTGGGCGACGCTGGCAAAGTTGGAGAGATAGGCAATGACGCTGCCGGCGTCGTCTGGATCTGTGGCGACGGCTCGTCCTCGATCGAGAGTCTGCGCTTGGCACAGCTCGGGCGACTGGCGTCGATGGCGGCTTCGACAAACTTCCACTCGGCGACGAGGCCGTCGAGAAACTGGTTGCGCCGGACGTCTGTCGGTCGGATCGGAATCGAGCAGCGCGCGCACTTGGACACGGCCTTGCGCAGCTCGTTCTCGATGCAGACCCTACATGCACCGGTCGACCATGGGCCGTTGGCGACGACGCGGACCTGCAAAAGTTGTGGTTGCATGTCAAGCACTGCGGGTCTTCCAGCACGCGCTTGCTACATGCATGCATGAGCCAAATCCTCTTCCGGGCGATCGCACCAGACGAAGCACTGGAGCTCGTCGCGGATGATCTCGAGCTGCTCCAGCATCGACGCGTCCATTTTGCCAAAATGGACCTAAATGGAGCAGTCCAGAATTAGGGATGGCTACATAGACGCCACTTAAGCCCCTGGAAGATGCAGGTAGGACCCTATGAGATGAGACCACTGGGTTAGGCAGCCCACAATGCGTCGTATAGTATGTTCTAGGTGTGCGTGTGCTTACAAGCAGCATAACAACAAGTTGAGAGGCCAAGCCCTCGCTCGCATGGATATTAAGTGGCGTTGGTTCAGCGACATGGGCACGGGGCTGAAACGGGAAGATCCTAATTAGGATGCTTAGGCCGAGCCCAGCCACGTTTTGGCGCGAACGGCCGTTTGGATTCGCATTTCGCCACACGACTTGGTTCGGCGGCAGAGTGCACAGTCTTCGTGCTGTCAGCTGCATGGCAACGATCTTATCGACACTTAAGCACTTGAGCTATTCTGCGTGGCGCGTCCAACTCGTCTAGCGTAAATCCAGGCTTACAATTGCCTCGGCGGGTCTACCTAGGGAGCATATTCCATGTTCCCGAGGGTCAACGTAGCAGATGACCTGACTGGCAATGTGGAGGTATATGCATCAAGTCCGACAAGGAGTTAGTTATCTACGGAGGATCTGTTGCGGCTCTTCGCGCGTACTGCAGCTACGTGTATATAGGTCTCATGGTCTAATTGCATGCTTTGGCTGTGGCCCGGGTGTACATTAGAACTTGACGAAACTTGTTCATTATTCGCTAGTGTAATTATAAATCTGCTAGGGGCTACTTGGCTATTACAAGATGGTATTGGTCAGTGTAACTATGACATAAGAAAGCATCATATTAGCCGATTCTCCAAGACGGAGTCTCGACAGTCAAGGATAAATTCATTGTCCTCATCCCAATACAAAATCCTGTCTTACATCTATTTGTTGGATCGTTGTTCAGAATTATGAAAAAGTTACTCTAGGTTTGTCGCCATGATAGCAAATCAATCTGACAGGGATAATTTGGTTCATCACCACAACGAGAATCATAAACGCTATTCTACGCATTTTCAATCAAAACTACATGGAAAAGACGATGTAAGATCAGTAACGAACCGTGTGACGGGTTCTGAGAACAAATTTCTTCATCGACAGCTTGTCTAAAAGCGAGCTGGGTGTATAATGTCATCATTTTACACGTCCATTCCACAAAATACATACAATCGTTTGAAGATCATACCCAACTCTGTTAAAGAAGGGCTGAATGCGTCTCATCACCTCTTTCGAATATGTCTGGGGCGGCGCACATATGGTGTGATAATCACTTCTTCAAAGGACAAAATATACAAAAAATCTAAAAGGACTACAATAGGAGATCATACCCAACTCTGTTAAAGAAGGGCGAAATGACGTCTCATCACCTCTTTCGAATATGTCTGGGGCGGCGCACATGTGGTGTGATAATCAATTCTCCAAATGACGAGCTACAAAATGCAATCGAAAAAGATAGTTTCATCCCTAATTCTGCCCTCTTGAAGTGAAAGGTAAGAGCGCAAAC